ATTACTGTTATTATATTGTTTATTTTATTTTTGAGGTTACTTGAAGTAAGAGGACGTTATTATGAGTTGTTAACTCATTGTATACCACCTGATATTATTTTTAAAGTAACTAAGAGAGAGAGAGAGAGAGAGAGAGATAAGAGAATGAGAGACTCATAGTGAATTTTGATTGAAAGAGAAAACTTACTTCTACTGGAAGAAAGGGAGAGATTACACTTGTACATGTACTTGTATATAAAATTAATTGTAATATTTTTTCTAATGTTTCTTCTTTTACAGAGGATATTGAATGAGCTGGTTGCTAACTGTGATGGTACACTGAAAGCTGAAGTGACTCAATTAGCAGCTCAGTATCAAGCTCAGTCACAACTGGGTAGTAAAGCAATCTTTCATCTTGAGGCCTTCACAGCAAAATTTATGAGAATATATAAACAATTTTTAGAGGAAGGACTGGAGAGTATGGGCTTTTGATGTAATGCATGCCATCATAGACACTAGAGATTTCTAACTCAAATATATATTCATTATTTTGTCACACTATGTACCCATTATGGTATTTAGCTTAGCCATAGATAGTCGAGTCCTCACATGCAGTGGCGTAGCCAGGGTAGGGCACAGTGGGGCACATGCCCTACCAGTCTATGCCAGCTGTCATAGTGTTCTGACTTTTGTCATGTCTATAAATTGTATGTGAAGTTCACTTGTCCACAGTGTGCCCTACCACATAGGCGTAGGCAGGGTCGGGCATATAGGGGCAATGCCCGACCTGACTCTGTGAGCTGACCTGTGGGCAAGGGCAGAAGCTTGGGCAAGGTGGTTGGGCAAGAGTCAAGACTGAGTGTATCACTGTGTGTGAGACTGTCAGACTATCATTACCACAGGTGTAATTGGACACTGGAACTATACCGTCAGTCTGTGACTGTCACTTAGCCTAAGGAGTGAGGAAGAAGCTGAGAGAGCCAGAGCTCTAGCAGCAGCCATTTTATTCAAGTTATGAATTATGATATCAAGTTAATTATTACTATACGCCCAAGTTAATTATTGAAATGGCGAGCAAACGTCAATCTTCCATGCTGTTTGCACCTATTTTTGGTCGTTACTAAAATGCGGAACGTGCGGAACGCTACGAAGAATGCGGAACGAGTGATACGGAAAGTACACAGACGTATACGGAGTCGATGCGTATAGTTCCACAGGGTGTCTAGTATTCGGAACCATTGATAAACCATAGAATGCGGAACAGTATACGTTGGAAACTTGGCATCAAAAGCTAAAGGCGGTATGTAGCCTACAAGACAATAGGGGATAATAATTGGTATAGAGCTGATTAATAATCAAAATACTCTTATTAATTATTATACAAAATCAAAATGGTAACAATATTAAATCAAATTGGCATAGAACTTTAATAATCGAAAATTGACATGCTATCATGCAATTAAATTAATCCTAATTCGTCTTTATATAACATTGTAGCATCATCTTTAGAAATTTTTTTATCCATGGAAATGTATGTTATCATTGCCTATCAAAAAATGTCAACACTTCACAAGTGATATTAGCAGGCTTACCTCTGGCCATAGCAAATGTACCGCAATTGCCTTTCTTAAATTA